GGGGTTGAGCCTTGATTGGGGGGGGGCGGCGAGGTAAGTCAATGATGGGCAGAGCGTTTACTTGATTATAAAATAATAATAATAATTAGTAGTAGTATAATTATTATTCCTACTACTGCCCTTGCGGAGTGTTTGCTTTCAAGGGGATTTAAAAAAACAAAACATCGGGGTGGGGGTGGGGGTTGGACTAGAGCGGGGGTGACCAGGCTTGCTTAACGTTAACAGCCACACAGGATAAACGCCAGGTGTTTTGAGAGCCGCAAGGCATGAACCGATATTACACACACACGTGTTTTAATTGGGAAAAAATAATATATATATATGTGTGTGTGTATATATAGAAATCTGCTTTCTATTCACGTGTACTCAGGCTGTGCAAAAGGCCTGTGCAAAAACTGCCACAGTTTGGCCACACACACCCCATGGCCTGTACGGCCCTTCCAAACTCTGTGATTTTAGGATTGCGGGGGGGTTTTTGGGGGGGGTTTGAATAAGGGCTGGGAGATTTACCGGGGAGGGACTTAAAAAGGAAGTTAGACCAGAGGAGGGAGCGAGCGTTTGGTTTTAGCCAGCTTGGGAGTCTGGTGTGGCACCTTTTTATGAACTTAACAAGGATTTTTCCATTCCAGCTCAAGCTTTTACGGAAGGGAGTTCGAGGTCTTTACGGACGCTTTAGTTGGTAGCTCCAGGGAGAGTGGTAGTGGATTGTTTTCTTTTTTCTGTTTCTCCCCCCCCCCCCTTTCTCTTCACCTTCAACAAAAACCGACTGGAAGGTATTTGCAGGCTTTTTTCCTGTTCCAGAGTCAGCTTCCCCCCCCCCCCCAACTGGGTCAGATGGAGATCTGCCTCCTGCCGACCTAAAGCCAACAAAAAATACTTCTCCTAAATCTTTTCGTGTTAATTTATAGGGTCACTGTAAAGTGACTTGATGGCATTTAACGTGCACTCGCTCAAAGTTTTCTTTGTGTTAAAATTGATCAAGGTGAAGTGATCTTCTCATTGGGTTTTTGTGTGTGTGTGTTCTAGTGTTGACTTTTGTGGACCCAAGTCCACACCATCAAATAACATGGAATGGATTTACACCAGCTGAGTCCATGCAAGTTTACATTAGAATGATTTTTTAAAAAACCTAGAGTCTTACGTCGTTTCTTTTAGCCAGAAAACATTAAAACTTGAATACGAACTACCTGTGGAGGCTTTCGGCAAGACACTTTTTAAACAACCCCCACCATCGAAAAAAATGCTCCTGACTTTACATTGGTGGCTTTGCTGTTCGGTTTGCCGCAAACAGATCCAAAACTCGTTTTTGGAGTTAATTTCAAAAATGGCCGATGTGAGTGTGAGAATGGAACCGCGGGCAGGACTCAGACTGGCTCAGCTGCTAATTTGAGCGAGAGACAAGTTTTCTAAGCTATTGTTTTAGGTCAACTCACTTGAATGTGCATAGATAAGTTTTGTAAGGTATTGTTTTATGCGTCTATCACTGTCTTTATCAAGAGAACCAAGTTGGAGACCGGTGGCTCCTTTAAGACCAAGAAAGTTTAATTCTGGGTGTAAGCTTTTGTTCCCTCTAAGCCGTGGAGTCTTGTGAGCAAAAATCCTAGTTTGTGAGCTGCTCACATTAAAGTTGTGAGCGAGCCATTTGGCTGCTGCATCAATTAGTGTGCTCTGGAGCCCTCCTTCCTGAGTGAAGACAAAAATGTGTGAGCCAGAGGCTAAAAAACTGTGAGCAGGCTTACACTGACTCAGCTTAGAGGGAACACTGCCCGGGATTAAATTTTCTTAGTCTTAAGGGTGCCACTGGACATGAACTTTGTTCTTTTGCTTCAGACCAACATGGCAGCCCACCTGAATCTGTCTTTATCAAGGCCAAGGGTTGAGTAACGCCTTAAAGACCAAAAAAAATTTGTGGCAGGGTACAAGCTTTTGTGAGTCACCGCTCACTTCTTCAGATATGAAGAAGTGAGCAGTGATTCACAAAAGCTCATACCCTGCCCACGTGTTTTGTTAGTCTTTAGGACGCTACTGAGCCCTTGTTCGTTTCTAGTGCTGCAGTCAGAGTAACATGGCTACCCATCTGGATTTATCGAAGTTGTCTTATCTTCTGCTGTCAGTGTGAGTGAGTACTCAGAATTCGTGACTCTTAAAGCAGTGAATGTGAAGATTATGTATGGATGCACATCTTGAGTATTTTGAAATCACTGAGTCGGTTGTCGCCCATTTTGAGTGTCTGATGATAAGAGGCAGCAAACCGAGCTGAGGTCACGCAACATGTCTGTAGTTGCAAGTTGATACCCAGTTCCCCAGGGCTGTCCACTAGGCCTCTAGAGTCTCTTGCTTCTCATGGTCTTGTGTGTTAGGCCGCTGATACAATCTCTTGACAGGCTGAACATTACGATACGTGGCACCATCTTTTCCTGCACTGTGTGGTCGGTTGTGTCTAGGAACCACGTTGCATCTGGTCTGCCAAAGTTTGCCACATGTCCGTTGCCCCTTCACCTTTTTTGTTAACAGCAGCACTTTTCCCCGGCAAAAGAACGACTCCCTCCAGTGCAGCGTAAACTCCACAAGTGGCGAAGGAGTTGCACAGGATCCTTACCCTGAGTTCTTACGTGAACACAATGTAATATGGTAGCCAGCGCATAGTGGGAATCGTCACCTTCAATGTGTTTCTGTAAGATAGGTTGTCCAGAAGGCTTTGGGTAAACAATGGTAACGTTTAATTGCTTTTATTATGTCTGACATGATAAATGCATCTAGGAATAACCATTGTAACGGCACCCTCTGATAAGAAACGCCCAGTCGTTATCTGTGAGTGTCATCTGTGGTTGCAAACTGTAACAACACCATTGATTCTTTTAAAGTTTGTGTCTACTGTGAAGAGCTGCAAGATGGGATTTCTTTAATAGGGGGGACTGATGGTTGAAACCGACGAAAACTACGTGCTCTTTCCTTCCCCCATCTTTAAGCGAGTTACATTATCTAACTCTGCATTCCATGCAGTATGGGACTTGGTTTGCCTCGACTAAAGTATTTCTTACTAGGTGTTTCTTACTTGGCTCTGAGCAGCTGCTTAATTGGGCCTGGGAAGTCACCTGAGACTTTTCCCCTTCCAGGTGGTGTGGGTCAGGGCCCATTGGCCATCAGGCAGCCAAAATGACTTCTCAGGTGGCCAAAGCCCAGTGTTCACTGCTGAAGACAGGACCTGTTGCTTTCCCGCCCCTCAAAACTGTTGTGGCAACTTACAGCTTTGTTCAAAGAAAGGTCACAGAATGTCAGAACTTCTGAAGATGAGATTGGCTTGAGGAGGAAACAGTGAGTAATGAGAGTTGGGTGGCAGAAGCTGCTTATACATCTCCTGTTGGGTGAGTCTGTTACCTTTTGCTTGTTTTTACATATGGGTACAACTTACAGCTGCGGTGGCTCAAGTGGTTAAGATGCTGAACTGCAGACTGTGGAAGGTCGGTAGTTCAGCAGTTCGAGACCCGAGTGTGCCGCATGACGGAGTGAGCTCCCGTCTGTAGTTCCGGCTCCTGCCAACCTAGTAGTTTGAAAGCAAGAAATTGCAAGTAGATAAATAGGTACCACTTTGGTGGGAAGGTAACAGCGTTCCGTGCGCCTCGGTGTTTAGTCATGGCGGCCACATGACCACGGAAACGTCTTTGGACAGTGCTGGCTCTTCGGCTTTGAAACGGAGATGAGCACCGCAACCCTAGAGTCGGACTCGACTGGCTTTCGAGCAAGGGAAACCTTTACCTTTACTTTACACTTTACATAGCTACATCTTTGGAAGCAGTCCCGGGGGGAAGGTACAAGCTGGGTATTAGGGAAAACTTTTGTACAGTAAGAGTTGTTCAGTAGTGGAATCAGCTGCGTAGGGAGGTGGTGAGCTCCCCCTCCCTGGCAGTCTTCAAGCAGCGGCTGGACAAACACTTGTCAGGGATGCTCTAGGCTGATTCTGCATTGAGCAGGGGGTTGGACTAGATGGCCTGTCTGGCCCCTTCCAGCTCTGTGATTCTATGATTATGTTATGATGTGCGGTGCACTAGAATAGTTACCAATTTTACACTCTTAGGGCAGATAAGTAGTTAAGTAATTTCCATGTAGGTGTGTGCATTGTTCAAGGGTGCCAAGCTTTGTTCAGCCACTTCAATAAGCTGTGAAAATACAGCCAGTCCTGGAACCCAAGAGGGGCTGTTCCATCACCTTATTGAACAAATACTCTTTGACTTGACTCAAGGGTGAAAGTCTTAACACTTCCCAGGCCTGCAAGTTGAGCTACTGCCAATCAGAGAAGAACATAAACTCAGCAGTCCAGGACTGTTGGCTTTGGTCTGAAGACGCATTTTAGCTAAGTAACGTGTCTGGCCTT